AAGGGTGGTTCCCTATCACCCAGGGATACAGTTTTGGACTTTTTCTTTGTGTGTATGCCCTTCCTAGACCCCCTATCCTTAAAAATATATATTCTATTATGATTTCAACCAGATTCTAAGCTGTCATTTCTGGTGGTCTGGCTTGTCATCTCCAAATGTCCCTGCAGCCATAGAACATCGTTTTCAGTGTAGTCATTGCCTCAGTTCGTGCTGCCCAATGAGATAGGCACTCGTCACATAAGTCTGCTGAGCATTTGAAATACAGCTAGTCGGAATTAAGAAATGAATTACAACTTGGGGGCTACTATAAAAAAGAGACTATCAAATATGCCATTAATAATTTTTATGTTAATTACATGTGAAAATATAATTTGGATATACTTAAGACAAATAAAACATCTTGAAAATTAATTCATTTGTTTCTTTAGGTTAGGCCTTTTTGTTTGTTTTCTAACTTTTCCATGCTGGGAATTGAGTCTAGGACCTTGAACTTGCCAGGCAGATGCCCAACTTCCAAGCTACCTTCTCTTTGTAATGTAGCTATTAGAAAGTTGAAAAGTATATTCATTTATTTACTTATGAGGGTAGAGAGGCACAATGTGGCATGCACGTGGAGAAAAAGGACAAGTTGCGTGAACAGGTTCTCTCCTTCCAACGTGTAGATCCCAGGGATCACACCCAGGCTTGGTGGTAGGAGCCTTTCCCATCTGAGCCCTCTGGCCTGCAAACTGGAACTCAACTGTATGGCTCCTGTGTCTTACTTGAGTTACATAGTAGCCCTCGTGTTTTGGATCCTCCAGTCCATCATCCGCACAGAGATTTCTCTGAAAATTGAATTTGTCTCATGGCTTTGACTTTGGAAACAGAATAGTGGGAGTCTAAACATAGCTCTGGACATTGCTAGTTATGTTTCCTTGGGTGATAGTGTCTCTAAATTCTAGTTTTAATATCTCTAAATAAAAGTTAAAAAATTAGAGGACAATAGTTTTATGTGAGTGAGGGTTTGTTTATGGACTTCCTAACATGGTACTTCTCAGCCACCCTGTCAGTGTTTTATGAAATCCTCTACTGTCTAAGCCTGCAATGTGGCATCTTTCTGTGTGTACCAATATGATTCACTGAAGTAACAGTGAATTCAGTTTATGAATTCAGTTTATGAATCATGAGTTGAGTTCTGCGGATTCTATTCCCTACAGACATTGGTGTTTCTTCCTTGCTTAGTTTCTAGTAGAACCAGTTCAGAGGCTACCTTCTTCAGAAACTCTTACTCGTCCAGTTTTGATGGGGTCCCGCCACAGTCAGTATACATACCTTTCCTTATAGCATGTTAACTGCGGAAGAAGGAACATTGTATCAGTCCGCCATTGTATTGCTAAAGCTAAGCACAGTGTGTTAAAGTCAGGACCTCTAAGTCCTGTATCTGGTGGTATTAAACAGAAGACTGCAGTGATGATAAACGCATAAACACCACTTGCAGCTCAGAGAAAGGTTAGACCTGACCACCTAGAGGGATAGGCATTCAGGGAAAATTAAAATAAATTGTGTTGACAAACGCAGTCAGATTGTGAGAAAATCAAGCAAAGGATATTTAAAAGACTTTGGCAGGAAGCCCACTGATTTTTCCCATCAATCCTTGGGGGAAGCCTTCGTTCCTCCAGGTAGCAACCGTGTGAGTGACAGCTGGCACTTTTTAGCCCTTCCTCCCCGTTATTCTGCGAAGTAGAACCAGTCCTCCCAAAACCTTCACACCGATTCTCTAAGTCCTGGCTGTTAAGCTGTCTACATTAGCATTGTCTTTGAACAATATAGTAATATGCAGATTCTGCCCGTTACCTACTTAATCAAGACCATAGAGGAGGAGGTCTGCAATGCTTGCTGTATCAGTAGTATTTTCCTTCTATGTGACTGATTAAGAAGTCCTGGTGAACACATAGAGCTAAAATGGTTGCTACAGAAATCCAGGTGCCCAGCCTCAGATTCATATGAATAATGATAATTTCAGAGATGGTTCTAGAGCAGTGGTTCTCAGCCCTGAGGGGGTCACCGGAGTCACCTAAGACCATCAGGAATATCAGATGTTTATATTACAATTAGTTACAGTAGCAAAATTGCAGTTATGAACTAGCAACAAAGTAATTTCTGGTTGGGGGTCAACACAACATGAACAGATTAGGGTCCTTGAAAAGTCCCATAAAAGACTATCAGTCACATATGCAATGAGCAAGAGTGTTTATTAATAATAATATTTTAAAAAAAAAACCTGCCAATACATTGGCATGGCAATAGCCGGAGAGACTTGAAGGCCCCCTTTTTAAGCAGGGTTAGGGGAATTCTAGGGAGGAGAGATTGGTCTGGGGGTTGATTGGTGCGGGGGAGGGGGGAGATGGGTCTGAGGGCTGATTGGTGCGGGGCCTGGCGAGATCAGTCTGGGGGCTGATAGGTGCGGGGTGGGGGGGTAGGGGAGAGGGGTCAGTCTGGGGGCTGATTGGTGCGGGGAGAGCAGGGGAGATCAATCTGGGGGCTGATTGGTGCGGGGTGGGCAAGAGAGATCAGTCTGGGGGCTGATTGGTGCGGGGGGAGGGGGAGGGATCAGTCTAGGGGCTGATTGGTAGGTGATTCTAGAAGTTAGGGACTTTCCAGCAGCAGGGTAGGGCAAGTTATCTTAGCTAGCAGAAGGCTGCGGTGCCCGCTGATTGTTGCCCCTGAGTTGTGATTTTCCTGAGAACTGCTTACTCGGCTCCAGCCTGTTCGAGTAAACTGAAACTAAGGTCTGGTCTCTGAGAGAGCTACTAGCATGGCCTGCCTTGGCCCTTGTGTGGCTTCCTGGTCCTCTCAGTGGAACGATGCATTAAGAAAGTTGGAAGCTGCTGGCCTAGAACTGATAGCAGATAGCTATTATGAGTTTTGAATATTTTCTTATTTTTTTTCTGTCAAGTTTGATGTTTCTCTCAAGCTATTTCGTAATGACAAAGAGTAAATAGTCCTCATCTGTCACTAATATTAAAGAGGCCCATTAATTCTGTATCAGTGAAAATATTTCAATATTTAAAAATGTACTTTATACATATGGATGTTTTGTCTGGATGTTGTCTGTGCACAACGTGTGTACCAGGTGACCGTAGAAGTCAAAAGGCAGCATCAGATCCCCTGGGATTAGAGACCTCAAGCTGCCATGGGGTGCTCCTAACAGCTGCATTATCTCTCCAGCCCCTCACCCAACCTAATTTTTATGCTATTTTTTAATTAGACAAATAATAGGAAGAAATTCATATAGCTTACTCTGTACCAGGGAGAATAGAGTCAGATATACCAGGTTTTTTTTTTTTTAGTTACTAAGAAGGGTAGAAATTCACAATAGATTAATAGTGGTAATCATTTCATTAATAATAATAAGGTGCTACCTCATGCATAATGTGCCAAGCAGTATTATGAGATTTTTTTTATTTTAGGACTTCTGACCTTAAGAATAGTTCTACTTATGAAATTGTATTACATTCGGTTATTCATTTACCCAGTATTTATTAATGCTACATAGGGTAAATGAACATGCCGAAAATGAATACACGTTTGGTTCCTTGCCAAAGCCATTGTCTTCCTTCTAATGTCACAGACATGTTATCAGACTCTCGTAGCACAGGAATAAGAAACGATTCCAACTTCCTGCTAAGATGTATGATACGATGAACTACACCGTATGCAAATCCTTATTAGAAATTCTTCTTCTTTGAAAAAACAACAAAGACAGTTGGCGTTGCTGATGTTCTGGTGGGAGCACAGCTGGAAAGACTGGTACCGCCGCGATTTGCTGATGGTAACACGGGTCAGACGTACTTAGACTTGTTTGCCAAGTCTACACTTCCTGGGCTTCTGCCTCTTGCCCTCAGGGGCTGCACCAGCTCTCTTCACACTCTGTCTCCTGTCTGGATGGGAGTTGCTGCCCCCTCCCTGAAAGCATAAACAACAGAAAGGAGTAACACAGTGGTCTGCCAAGCAAAGGGCAGAGTGCCCTTTCCACTGAGTTTGGCGCCTGGAATGTGGAGGTCTTTGAAACTATTCTTTTGGCATCAAATAAAGCATTCGTGCGGTTTGAGGACCAGATGGGGGAAATAGCTTTCTTCCTACATGTTAGCTGTGTGATGTCTGTCGGTGGCAATAGCCTAGCGAGGAGCATTAGAATGTTACTGAACATATTTCAAATGCCGTCCATTTTACTAGACATGAAAAAATACACTTTGAGCCTGTCTTACATTTTTATTACCTCAGTGTACAGTAATAAAATAGAGGATTAGATTCTTTTCAAGGTTAACGTAAGTCAGCATAAGTCCAAAACTTACCGGTATTAGAACCTGTGTGTATTCTTTAGTCATATGTAGATTACATTTGATTCCATTATGTGTAGCACAGTGGGATGTAAAAATGTATGTTTTCCTGAGAATAGTGATTTAAAGCAGTTATACTGGCCATACCACGAACTTATATTTGTGAGGCACATTTCCATTTTAGAGGTGTAGATTTTTAGCTTATTAGGTAATTGGATGTTGCTTTATTTTTACACTTGTATTGGGCCTATTGGGCTTCCATATCTTATATGCAACTGTTTGTTCCACCATATTCCAGTCGTAAGGCCTCCTATTTTTCCGCAACTATTTCTGTCAGCTTCTAGACACTGTCTAGAAGTCTCTAGATGTCACACAGTTAATTGTCACGATGGTTAGTTGAGGCTTGGGTCAGACTGTTATCTTCATTTTATTCATGAGGCAATTGAAACTTTAAGGAATTTCCTACCACGACAAGTTACTAAAAGACCTAAGATTTAATCCTAAGCCTTTCTGGCTTTGTGTTTTCTGAACCTCGTCAGAATCCACTGTACCATGACTGTCTACTACACAGGGACCATTTGAGCCAAGTAGCAATAAGTATCATGTGTTTCCTTATTGGAGCACAAAACCAACCTGTGCTGTTTAGTTCTCGGACTGAGGTTACGTTCTGTGTCCCTGCAGGGCTGAATGCAGCAACTGTGAGATTGGAGAGCAGTGTGGTACCATCATGCATGGCAATGCCGTGACCTTCTGTGAGCCATATGGTCCTCGGGAGCTGGTGAGTATGTGCTGCTGAGGTCCATCCTTTCATTACGGTGCTTACTCTGATTTTGTCAACACAAGTTTCTCTTACACTCTAGGAGTTCAGATGAAAATTTGAAGTATTGTTTGTACTATTATTAATGTCTCAAAATTGAGGTGGTGGTTTTATGATCATTTCTAAATATAAACATGACAGCTCTGTGATAAAACTGGCAGCATCAGTTTGTCTCACTAAACATGATTCATCACTATAATTACATGTGTGAAATACAGATGTGATTATGTATATCACATGTACACAATACATGTCATGTTTAAACGCATGTGACTAAGTTCTTATGTGAAGCCTTGCTCTTATCCTTACCATTTTTTTCTCTTTCCAAGTCAAGAGTTTCTTATGACTTTAAACTTTGGTTCCTAACAACAGATAAACTCCAATGGATATCTTTTTTAAAGAATGTATTGAATGAGTAGGTTTGCTTTTAATGTAATTCATGCCAAGCGACCCCAGGGTCACTCTCATTTAATTACCATGTTAGCCTTTGCTAGAGAAGGTAAATTGTGGGATTATACGTGCAATGAGCAGGCTAAATTAAAATCAGTGCAACCACTCCCGTGAGCATACGGCTCGTGGGCCTTTTGTTTTGTCTTCCTTTCTGACGTGATGACTGCATTCATTTTACATCCCCGAAAAGGACATCTACAAGAGCTAGCTCCAGGACAGGCTCCAAAGCTACAGAGAAACCCTGTCTCGTAAAACCAAAACCAAAACAAAAACAGAAAACCAAAAACAACAACAACAAAAAAGGACATCAAAGCCTTGTGACACAAGGTCCTGCTGGCTCAGCCCTCGGCTTCTGGCATGTTTCTTGTGCTGCCTGGCAGGGGCCTGGCTGCTCTGCTCCCAACAGCCCCTTCTCCTCCGTACACATCTTCCTGTTCACCCTATGTCACATGGTGCGTTTCAAAGTCACTAACTTCAAAAGTGGCTGAAAAGATTAGCTTCCGTAGCAAAGAGGGGAGAAAGCCCTACGTATATGAGTAACTAAAAGATTTAGTTGTCGAGATGTGGAAGCTAGTTAACTTTGTTCTGCTTGAATATCCATTCTGTGGTAATAGATATATTTAACCTGTTGAGGATATGAGTTTCAGAACATGAATGAACTGAGTTTTCAGTGGGAACTAGACCACAAACAAAATTAATTAGGTGCAAATTAAAGTAATAGGTGCTTATAATTCAAGTCTCACAGGGTGTTATACCACTGCAGACTCTAGTAGTGAAATGCTCTCTGAAAAAAAATAAAATCAATTTGCTAGTACTCTTTAAATAATATACCGTGATTGAATTAATTATCTATAAACCCTAAAATAAAATTAATTTTATCATGGTTTATTGAGCTGAGCATAGCTGCCTGTTTGAGGAGATGCTCCATTCAGTAATATTCCTGAGAACACAGTCAATGGGAAATAAAAGTGTCTTGTGATGTAATGCCAGAATTCATATTTCCATAAATTTCCATAGTCAGTGAAAGCCACACGATCGTTTCTCTGTAGTCCAGTCTGTTTGGTATTAGGTTCGGACCCCGGCTGGCTAGTGTGGAGGTATAGATGTGAGACCATCTTCACTCACTTACCACCCCGTCACCTCAGCACGAGGCAGAGCGACCGAGGGATGGGGAGCTGGGGCCAGCCTGGGACTCGCAGCAAGAGCCTGTCTCCCAGTGTCTACATAGTAATAATCTTGTAAGATATGAGAGTGGCCTGCAGTTTGTATTCCCATCATAAGTATTTCTGGAAAATGAGCGTGTTCTGTAGGTCCGAAGAGATAGAATTCACAGGAATAATGTTCATTTAACTTTCAGTCAGTTATATTCTGTGCCAGCCCCCTAGAGGCCAAAGAATGTGGGGTACCCATGCTGCCTTCATAGAAAGCAGGCCAACCAAATGGAAAGTGAGAGATTCAGTTGCCAGTTAATATTGTATTTCCAAAATCTCGAGCATTCTTATGGAACCCCAAAACTGAATCCAATCGAAGCTGTTGTCCATGACAACTGATGAAAGTTACAAGCCCTGAAACACCACTTATTACACAATAGGCCTGCTTAGTTTTCATAATCTAAGTTTTCATAATCTAAGTTTTCATAATCTAAGTTTCTATAAATTTGTGAAGTGAAGAACCACAAGCCAAGAGTCTTTGTCAGTTAAGGCATTCGCTTTGGATCTACTTAAAAAGACACGTGCGTTCCCGAAGTCCTAGCCTGGGGTCTGGATCTGAGGTCCTAGGGCTGGGTCAGGCTGCCCTAACCGAACAGGACCACGGCAGCGGAGACACAGGAGGTGGAAAATCAGGGATGGCATTTGGTTCAATGCGACTAACACAGGCGAGATGGCCAGTGTCCTAAGACCTGCCTTCTGGGGCTGGCAATGGCGCCAGGACCCTACAGGAGATTGCAGTGCGGTGTACCTGGTTGCCCTAGGTGACTGTAGTCTGGGTCATCTTGATCTCAGGTCTGGTGGTGTGGGCCCCGCTAGCTCCAAAGGAGCTGTTAATGTCTTCCTGCTCACTCCAGCCTCTGGATTACAGATAAGACCCTTCACGCCAGTGCTTTCAGAGAGCTCCTGGGATTGAACTTGGGTCTTCATGCCTGCACCACAAAGACTGTATTAGCCTCGCGTATCTCCAAGGCCCTCTTGTTATTTTTTATAGAATTCACTATAATTCTCAGAATTTCACTAATCTTAGGGCCGTAGTAATGAATTGAGCATCAGACATCACAGGAGTCCTCAGCCTCCCTTGTGAAGGAAAAACAAATAGAATCAATGACTAATCAAAAGCCATGGTCACCTTGTTAGCCTCTGAAACTAAGCAGTGTGCCATGCATAACTTGCTGCCCAGTAGCAGAGGTCACAGCTGTGTGACATGGCAGGACAAGTGACCCAGCACCATTTATTATACCACCAGGAAAAGTACCGAGGATGCTCTAAGATGCTCTGTGTACTTGCAATAGCAATAACCATAGTACTTCTAATTTATATTTTAAAGAAACAGTTTCATGATTCATCTGGGAATCTATTCAGTTCCATAAAATCATTCAATTTATGTGAAATTAAAAGAAAATTTCTCTGTTGGTCGTGTGCCTCTTTGGATTTTAATATGAAATTATCTGGATGAACACCCATGAGGGAAGCTAGTTAAACCTACTTTAAAAGCTATGGGGGGAACGCAGATTGCTTTTCCAAGTATTTGATTGTTGGTATTTCTCTGATATCTCTGCTGGGAAGAAAACAGATAGGAGTCTGAGGAAGACAGGAGCCTGAGGTCTGGACATGTCAGCTAGAATTCCCTTTGTCAGGCCACAGCGCTGATTCGAGTTTGTTATACAGTAGGATCTTGTACTGACTCTGGCTGAAGGGACGATAAAATGTCCCTGCCATCCCCTCTTACCTTGGCTGCCTGCCCGCTGGAGTTCTACAGTCACATGGTTAAACGTGTCAGGTCATAAAGGAGCAAGACTAAGACAGCAGACTGTGCCTGTCTACTGAGGGTGTGTTTGCACACTAACCGCGTCAGAGAGAGGAGTTTCGTGAGACATCCATTCCTCAGTGGATGGTGCTCAGGAGCCCAGCGAAATGAGAATTTAGGTTTCATCTCATTAGAACTGTGTGCCTGCTCCAAAGAATAAATAACTTTATACATAATCATGTATGTGTCTCTCCTCTTTCCAAAGAGGAGAAGTTTGTCAATGAGTTCTTTGAGATGCTACAATTTCACAGAAGTGTGGGGAGGTTCTTCCCAGGCCCTTATTCTTAATATCTCCTCACTCTCTCCCTTCTCCTCTTCCCTCCCTTTCTCAATTTAAGAAATGTTCATAGATTCTTCAGTTCCTTTGCAAAGTTGTATAATCATTGCCACAATCAGTTTGAGAATATCTTATTATCTCGCCCGCAAAGATTATGGCATTTAAATTCGCTGTGTAGATTCTATGATGACTTTTAAGATATTCATCAATCTGACTACAGGGGAGAGCCAGTTCAGGCAATCCTCTCCTCTATTGCTTAGGGTCTTAGCTTTCTAGTCTTTTTGTTTATTTGTTTGTGTTTGTTTTTTTGTTTTGTTTTGCTTTTGCTTTTTTGATACAGGGTTTCTCTGTATAACAGTCCAGGCTGTCCTGGAACTCTCTGTAGACCAGGCTCAAACTCACAGAGATTCACCTGCCTCTGCCTCCCAAGTGCTGGGATTAAAGACGTGCACCACCACTGCCTGGCTTTTTCTAGTCTTTTACTCTTCCTTTATGTCCCAGTTTTTGTTTGGTCGCCTTTTTATGAGACTCTCTTTGGCTCCCAGGCTGGTGATAACATAGAGGAAGGTGATGGGCTGCATGTAGTCCTATCAAAAGCCCTTGCAGGGTGTCCTTGAAAGTTGTCTCAATGACTCTCTGAGAATCTTACCATCCAGACTCCAGTTGGGATCTCTCACAGTTTGCTCCCCAAAAGGGAATAAAGGAATCTGCCTGTGCTCCTCACGTTCATTAGCTCAGGTAATGGTACAGGTGAGAATGGTAAGCAGCTGGGGGAGTGTACCTCTGTGAACGGAGCTGTCGCGCTCCCTTGTTCCCAAAGCCCTGCTCCCCTCAAGTCTGTCTTCCGCTCACACCCCTTGTTTGTATTCTCTCTCTAGACCACCACAAGCCTGAACACGACAACAGCATCTGTTCTCCAGTTTTCCATCGGTAAGTGTCTCTTAGCCATCGTAGCAATCTTTCTTAGAAACGCTTGTTTGAGTCAGAGAATACAACTGTGCCAGCTGCTTTCAGGATTGGGAATGAGTAAATCAGTTAAAAAGTGAAGTTGAATATTTTAAAATATTGCCAGTAGTAAGTAGTGTTGAAAGCGCTACAGATGATCTGTAACCTTTTAAAGACTTTTTATTATGTCCCATCTATGTATGGTGTGTGTATGTTTGTGCGTGTGGTTTATGGCTTGCATCTGGAGGTCGGAGGACAACTTGATGGAGTTGCTTTTCTCTCTTCACCCTGTGGATCTTGGTGATCAAACTCGGTTTCCAGAATTGGCAGCATTGCCTTTGCTCCTGGCTTCACAGCCCTGGAATATTTGTTATCAAAGATTATTACATATGGATGTCGAATGCATTGGGTTGTTCTGTTGTGGCAGAAATGCCCTCCTAGTTATGTTTGCTCAGATTAAGAGAGACATATGTTCAGTTTTGTGAACTCTGATGGGTAGAAAGAAACTAAGATTTTATGTTTGACATAAATAACTTATGTTTAATTTTGATTGATTAATTAATTAGTTAATGAAAAAACTACTGTATCTGGAAAATATTTCTTCTAAGGGTTTCTGTAGGAAAAGTAAAAGTCCCTACCCAAAATATTCAGTAACAATTTGCCTTTTAATGAGATGCTAGTGATTTTGCTACCTATTCCATTCTTTTTAAAATTTTATACATATATGTGTGTATATATATGTATGTATATATGTATATGTCTGTGTGTGTTTATGTGAATCAATAAGAAACTTGTACACATTTCCAAAGAGAATATTCTAGAGAAAGAAAGAGGGTCTTCTCCACAAGACGTAGGTCTACCTCTGACCTGCTGCAGAGTTTGCTGACATCTGATAACCACACCCTGGCCAGTGTTCTGTAGTCACCTCCCCTCTTCCCCCCTCTCCGCATCTGGACTGCCCGTCTTTGGAGACCAGCCACTGGTAGAAGACCCTTTTCCTCAGCAGCTCCCATTCCATACTGCATGGCAGTTTGGGCGGCTGGGAGCCCACTGGGGTTGGCTCTACCAAAGTGCGTTTTTCTAGGCATACGCTTGTTACTCCTCCGTCAGCAGGTCTCGTGTCAGCTTGTGCAGGTCTGTGAAACTGCCTGGTTACCATTTGGGGTACTTCTCACATTCAGTATAGCCCACATTCAATAGACAAATCAAAACTGCATATTCGTGAAAAAAAATGCTAGCAATGATAAGAAATGGCGAGTTTTTAGATTTTTTTCAATCTGTTAACTTGCCTATCCTAACTTTCATGATCAAGACGAAATACAGTTCTTTTTATGGTTGTAATTTGACAATAACAAATTTTTAAAACTATAGCCTGATAAGCCTCTTCATGGATCTTAACTTGAATTAATGTGTTCTATTTACTACACCACTGAAAAATCAAGGTAATTTATCTGTGTTGGGGGTGTATTTGTCGGGGTTCTGTAGAGTCACAGAACTTATAGAATGAAAATCTCTCTCCCTAATAAACACGCGCACGCACGCGCACACACACACACACACACACACACACACACACAAACTTTTTGGAATGACTCACAGACTGTAGTCCAGACAATCAAACAAAGACTGGCTGTGAACAGAAAGTCTGAGAATCTAGCAGTTGCTCAGCCCCACGAGGCCGGGTGTCTCAGCTGGTCTTCAGTGCTGGAATCCTGAAGAAGTGGGCTCCGATGCCAGTGAAGGAACAGATGTGCTGACCAGGCAGGGCAACTGGCGAAGAATGAACCCTTGCTTCTTCCATTGTCTGTATGTAGGCTTTAGCAGAAATGTGACATAGGTTAAGGGTGAACTTTTCCACCTCAAGATCTGGATGGAACGCGTGCGTCTTTCAGCCTAGATTAGATCAGATTAGAGGCATAGGTCTTCCTACCTCAAAGGTCCTGACTAGAAGTGGATTCACCCTCTTCAAACCAGTCAGAAAGTCTCTCACACGTGTTCCCTCCATTTCTGGCTTGTAGTTCATCCCAGATGGAGTCAAGTTGACAACCAAGAATGGCCATCACATGGGGTGTTCTTTTTGTTAAAATAAACATTAATTTCAAATATTATATTCAGGCAATGAAGGACCACAAAGGAATCCATAATTCCACTAGATTTTTCATTTTGATCAAAGGAGAAGAGATCTAGCATCAGTTAAAGTATTCTTTATTGTAGAAAGGAAGAAAGTCTCATTTTGTGAGTAACAAAGATGACGTCGATTCTCTATTTCCCAGCCTTTTCAGTCAGACAATTGCAATATCAGTTCAGTGGAACTCACAGAAAGGGAGCAAGCAAGGAGAGCTAGGGAGTTGGTAGAGAATGTAAGGTTTAGCACGTGACATTCAGGACACAGAATAACTCCAGGCCAAGGGTTAAGGTTAGCTGTAGCATCTGACTTAGCCCAAACTTAGTTTTCCTACCTGTTTATAGATCAGCTTATATAATTGAGAGTGCAGATTTGGCACCTGGTTCCTATATTAATGATATAAAGAGTCACAGAACCGAGGAGAAATGGGCCCAGGGTGTAACATGATGGGGGCCGGCTTGTTGGGGTTTCTGTTCCCGCCTGGTTCCCCACAGTCGGCAAATCCCAGAGAAAATCAATCACACAGAGATCTCTATAAGTTATAAAACTGATTGGCCGATTAGGTCAGGCTACTTATTAGCTCTTATAACTTTTGTTACCCCATTATCCTTATCTACGTTAGCCACACGGGCTCAGTACCTTTCCCAGCTGGGCCGGTTACATGCTGCCTCTTCGGTGGTCTGCGCAGGAGTGCGGAGGGAGTTTCCTGCTTCCCAGAATTCTCCCAGTCTCTTTGTTCCAACCCTACTTCCTGTCTGACTTTCCCGCCTATACTGCCTGCCTGGTCAATCAGCGTTTTATTAAAATATGATTGACAGAATATAGACAATTCTCCCGCATCACCAGGGAGAAAGGAAGAGATGGAGATTCAAGTTTATAATCTTCAAAGTACATTTTAAAAATCCTTCTGGGTGATGGTTTTAAAATTTAAAAAATGAAATTGTAATGTAGCATTGGTAATGAATTTAGAGAAATTTTAGCTTATCAATTAGAAACTTCACTGGGAAATTCATGCACTACGTTTTCAGACTAGACGTTTTAAAGGTATTAAAAGGATTAAGGCAGCAGCAAACCGTTACCTACACTGTGTATGATGCTCTGGGTAACTGTGACATTACAGGTGGAATTATTTCCAGGATGGTTGTATGTGCCTTATGATCATTCACTTCTATGGGTGTTTGTGAGGTAGAAGGCAGTGACACCCTTCCGTTGACAGAGAAGCTCTGAGTGCTACATTTAAGCATGTACCAAAGTCCCAAGTGTGCCATAAATGTGTGGATTCATTTCCGACTTTACAAGCCTGTAGTAATGAAATATCATAATAGCAACTGCAGTTTCATAACTATTTCATCTATACCCGCCTCAAAAGTTATGCAGAATCAGCTTTGGGTTGTGAGCCCGGCATTTGCATTTCTTTATGTATCTTGGGATTCTCCGAATCCATACAGTTAATGGGACTATAGCCAGGCAACCTCAGTGACACCACTAGAGAAGACATGTAGAATGTGCAGTGTTCCTCGTAGACAGTACATAGATAATAGTTATTATTTATGAGCTCAATTATGAATTATATTATTAGCTATATTTTCATATTGTCCTTGTCAATATTTCCAGTTAAGTTACAAATATAATCCTCAGAATTTCCAAGTACCTCACAGACCTGTATACAAAATTGCTTACATTACTAAGTTGTGATTTTAAGTTCCTTCAATTATGTGTAGTGTGGATAAATATTACCTGTATACATAAAATGCTATATGTATATTGTTCATGTGTCTACATGCATATAAAGAAATAAATATGCAAACACTCTTAAGTAGATGGCTTTGAACATTAAGAACATTCTGAAAGCCAAGTTTTGCAAGCTAAAATTTATCAGGTTATCAATAGCTAAGCCATTTTTGAAAAGTGTCCTGAAATATTCTAGGAATTTTTCATTTTTCCATTCCAATGAAAGATCTGGTTTCCATTTCTGCGCAGAGGCATCGATTTGCTGCATTCCTCCTTTGATTCATTGGATTCAGCTTATGGAATTTACGGTTACAGCCTTAGGGGCATTTGCCCATCTCCTTTAGATTTCCTCCGGGATGGGAGGAAAAATTTGAGCTGATGCCCCTTGTGAACCATTATCTTACAGATTTCTCCAAACTGTTTTCTCAGACAGAATTCTGCTTCCAAGGGAAATACCGGAGGCTCCTCGTATCTGTCATTCACTTAACAGAGTTTTGCTGGATATTTGCTTCTCATTGTCTTGAGATAACTTTAGCTGTAGTAAAAGAGAAGGCGAGGAGGATACAGCAGTGTTACAGGCATCAGCTGGGCAGTAGGAGGCACCGGGTCTGCAACAAGAACACTCCAAGACCAGGTTGTTGTGATTATGGTGACAATGCCAGGTTGTTGCAATTAGGGTGACGATGTCAGGTTGTTTCAGTAGAGGATGACAGTGTCAGGCTGTTGCAGTAGAGGGTGACAATGTCAGGTTGTTGCAGTAGAGGATGACAGTGTCAGGCTGTTTCAGTAGATGGTGATAATGTCAGGCTGTTGCAGTAGAAGGTGATGATGTCAGGTTGTTACAGTAGAGGGTAACAATGCCAGGTTGTTGCAGTAGAGGGTGACCATGTCAGGCTGTTGCAGTAGAGGGTGATTATGTCAGGCTGTTGCAGTAGAGGGTGACCATGTCAGGCTGTTGCAGTAGAGGGTGATGATGTCAGGCTGTTGCAGTAGAGGGTGACGATGTCAGGCTGTTGCAGTAGAGGATGACAGTGTCAGGCTGTTGCAGTAGAGGGTGACGATGTCAGGTTGTTGCAGTAGAGGATTGTAGTATGAGGGGCCGGCTTGAGGGGGTTTCTGTCCCGCCCAG